TTAAAGTATTAAATACAAATCTAGAATACTTAAATGACTGTAGCCACCCAGCTTCAGGTGTTCTGGATGAAAGACAAGAAAAAAACAAGCAACATAAGCTGAATAAAGTGGATTTAAAAGATTATATGCTTTAACACTTTTCTAATGAATGTGGCTGTCTGCATGTTCAGATAACTTATATCTGGGATTGCTTATTAACCAAAGTGCCCCTGGGCAGTTTCTAGAGGAGTAGATATTGTGAGTCTCTTTCTATAGGTGGCCCATATCTGTTAACGAAAATCTAGGCATTGTCTGAAAAAGTTGTAATCAGTTTATTAATTTGTAATCCTTATTCTAGATGTTTTCTATCGCCAGATCCAGTGGTACTGCTTTGTGCGTGAGTGGGAACAGATAACCTGGAGCAAAAGATTTCTGCTGGTGGAACTGCTCTCTCCTTGGGGCAGTCAGTAACTCTGTTCACTGGGATTTTTAGCTGTTAGACGAGAATGAAGCAAGCCTCCTCAAAATTTCTGAGGTGCTTATCTTTCTGTGCTCTGGTCCAATCCCTGTGTTTATTTGTGATCATAATAGCTGCCCTGCAGCTAGTTTGAGGAGCAAGTCTGGAAACGTCTCCAAGACGGTTGTGCTGGAGTTCTGTGTGCAAGCCCTTTTCACGAGGTGTTGAGGTGTCGCTTCCGCAGCACGTTAACCCACATAGCAAACACTTCAGGGTCTCGAATCCGTCCCCTCTGGTATTTGCTAGAACGTGGTTTTGCTTCTACTATTTTGTAGAGTGGATGATTGTTTTTCGAGAATAGACATACAGAAATAATTTTTTATTGGGCAAAACTAACTTTACCATGTAGAAAACTTACTACATTATTTTTTAGAACAGAACGAAGCCTCGAGATTGTTTGTGTACAAAAATAACCCAGAATAGCCATTTCTCTCTTACCCTGAACAAAAGTTTAGGCAAAGATGAGATGCCACCTGCTGGTTATACACAGTCTCAGACCTCTGGTGTGAAGTCACGAGAACCAGGATTTTGTGCTGTGCCTTCAGCTGGAAATTTGGAAGGGTCAGGTTAGTTCTTAAGAACTTTTTGAGAAGAAAACCACTGCTGGACTGTTCAGCAGAGGTTTTGCAAAAATCTTACAATATCATCATAAGGAACTTGTTGGAATTACTGTAATAGTGTCCATATGTTTCTTCAGTAATATCTCTTCTGGTTTTGGTAAAGAAAGATAACTCTGTCAAATATAAATAGTGTTCATAAACATTTATGTATGATCTTGCCCAGTGAAAGTTAGAATTGTTGGCATTGTAAGACTTCCCTGGGGAAAAGCTTAGGCTCCATTAAGCATCTGGAACATTTTC